AAAGCCAACGAGACATAATGCTGTGACCTCACAGAGGTAGTTCCTCCTTTTGGATAAAGGAAACATAATCATCCCAAGGATTTTCTGTTGAGGTGCAGTCTTACGTATGAAATCAAATCACATGTTTACTTCATATATATTTGTTACATTGAGTAGTGCAGCCTGGCATTGTGAAAGAGATTGTTTTGACAGGTTCTGATCTGAAAGTGATGAAAAGACTGAAGGAAAACAGTGGCATTTGGTTTTGGTCTCTTAAACTTGGATGTTTTACCTTGGTTGGTTACAAACAAAACCCCAAGATAAACAGAGAAGGCCTCCCCCTATCCCCCATTTCATCTAGCAGGGTTATATCCTCACCAACATTCTCTATACATGAATTTTTCTACTGCTGTGGACACAGGTTTAGTTTATCCATCTGCTGTGTGAGCTCTCCCCTGACATCAGGTACTTTGTGTTGTTTTCATTGATTTATTGCTTAACAATTTGAGGAGTAGATATTCTTGTGACAGGAACTGTTTTATGTAGAACTGTCTCAAATTTACTGTCCTTTTCTATACGTGTGCCTGTGTTTTCCAGGTTTAATTTGCAGATATCTCCTTTTGTTCAAATTTGTTGGTGTTTGTACTCCTGGGAGGAGCAACTGCAGGTACTCTTCTATATAATGTAAGCAGCCACTGCAGTACTCTGCAGACTTTTATAAAGTAGACTGTGTTGGAATGGTACAAGTCACCTTTCAGCTTGCTGAATTGGGTGTTCTTTCTTGTGAAGAAGAAAAAACTTGTAATAAACAGAGTAGGTTGGAATTATTTGCAGGAGAAGAGACCTGCTTTTTCTGGTTTTCACCTTCTTTATCTGAGAAGAGACTAGTGCAAAATCTTCTGTGTTATTTTGTCCTGCTTTTGGTAGGCACTGCCTGTTTGAGAATGACCATGGCAATGGGAACCATGTGCAGTCCTGTTTTCTGTTGCAGTTGTATACTGGGAACTCTTTTTCCCCATACTGCAAAGACGGGAGTTAGTGTAATATAGATAAGGAATCTAAGGTTAGATAAGGCCAAACATCATTACTAAAACATCTCTGGGTTGTGTTTTGATGTGTTTATTATAAGATTTTACCATTTTAGAAATTGACACTGAAATTAGAGGTATATGAAACTTAGCTTTCTTTTGACTGTTTCATTTGATTAGTTGAGCTGCTTCAGGGATTACTTGGGTCATGGCATTCACTAGTTTTTGTACTGTAATAGATACCATTCTGTATTTCCAACTGTTCATGCTCAGAAAACATTATATATTTTATAATGAAATAGGTACAGCTTCTTCATATTGTGAGTAGTAACACGTGGAAAGAAGGGTGGCTCCTCTTCTCTTGCCTCTTCACATTTCCTTGCCTCCCCTGATTACTGTTCTGCAGCACAAACATTAGGCATTAATTTCCATAAAGTCAGTTTGGAAAAAGAAAGCTTATTAAAATAAATATAGAGAGGGAAGATATAGTTGTTCTGGCTTGAGCTGCAGCTGTTACAAACTTACCATATGTAGTAGCTGGACCTTACGACTTTGAATTTTATTTCTGGAAAGCATCGCTGCCATGTGTTGAGTGTATTTTAATGCTCCGTATTTCCTCAAAGCATTATCATGAATGATTATTATGAATCACTTTATTGCTCAGGAGCTTATGGCTTCTTGACATTAGGAAAAAAAATGTTCCTTTTAGTGTGATTTTTGGGAATTTTGATTTATGACTGTACATTGCTGTCTAAATGATTTTTGGAAGGTCACTCAGGGAAAGTGAGTTAACTTCGAAAACCAAGTTGGTTCTAGAAAGAGTGTTTCAGATAAGAAAACTGCTCACAACTAAAACAGTCACTTTCAGGACAGAAGATATTTAGAAAAGGGAACATATTACATGCATTTACCATTAATGTTAATTTATGGACCGAAAACATTATTAATGAGTTAATATCTTAAAACAGAAACACATAGAATTAACCAGTGATAAAAGCATGAAGAGATTCAGCATTAAATAACTTTTATTAGGGTTACAAGGATAAAACAGGTATTCTCTTGTGGTGGTTTAATACTTCACAAAAGACAAACCTGAACTTACTCTGAATTGAGTCAAGTGGCTCTGAGAGCAGTAGGGAATCTTATTAATATCACCATCCAAATATTATGAGCTGTGATTTCTACTTTAACTTGACGTTTAAGAGCAGCACTTCTGTGAGTAGCTCTTCTTTCTCTTAATACTTATGTAAGCTGGAGACAGGTTTTGAGAGAAATCTAATCTGTAAGCAAAATGGCAAAAATTGTTCTGTCCACAGATCTGGCCATGAAAGTGTGGGAGGGGAGAGAGGAAGCAGTGAGGCAGTCTTTGAGACATGACCCAGGTACTGTTTTATGGACTTAAATACACATTCAGCTGATAAAATGAACTATGGAGTATGTGTTACAGAACTCCTGTTCGTATAAAGTATATAACCCCACAACTGTCTTTCTCCAAAGGCTTGTAGGAATGAATTGTATGTGTACTACTTGTGGGATGAGACCATCACAGATAATCACAGCAAGGTCTTCACCAAAGAGAAAACTTGAATGCTTTTGCCTTATATAAAGACAGGACAGAGCTTTCCCTGCTCTGTGTGGGTAACCAAGCACTGGTTGAGGTTGTTAATGATATCCACATCTCTCAGAAGGTCCATGGTCAGAAAAGCAGGTTCCAGGTGCACCCTATGGAAACAGCAGAGCTGCTCAGCACGGCACACGGGAATCAGGAGGAAGTGAAGGTTTCAGAACTCGTTGCTGTTGTCCCCCCTTTCTCACAACTGCCATGGTGTGGAGCAAGAGCCATTGTGAACACTTCTCAGAAAAGGAATTAGCAAACCAAATGTAAACAATCAGGGGTTTCTGGTTTTTAAGGGCCCATGTATGCAGATTGCAAACAGCAGTGTGATGAGTCAGAGAGAAGCTTGATAAAGCAATATGGACCAAACCTTTAAAATGACAAAACTAAAATAAAATCCTACTACTTATCATGACAAATGCATTGCAGTAATTTTAATATCTCTCCTGTGCTATAAAGAAGGCAAATTGCCATGAATTTAATAGGTCCTTCTCCTACCCTTTCAGCAATTAATTGTGTAGTAGGAATTGATAGCAACACAGAGTTTTTCTTTTAATTTGATGTGCCTTATATAGGCACAGTAACTTAACTATGCCTCAGCTGACTCTCAAATTCTGCAAGCTTTCTGTGAGGTAAACCTTAGTGTAGTTGAAGCCCAAACTCCCCCAGTTTAATTTTGCAGATGTGATCATGTGCCATGTTACTTCTTTAGAGACTGGTACTTCCCAAAGCAATATGTCAGATATTGGATCTATATATTTCAAGACCTTGTCTGAAAATAAGACTACACTTCTTACAGGAAAAATGTCTTATCAGAACAGGGGCAGAACTGGCAGGTCTCACAAAATAAAGCTCCTCTAGAACAGACAAAGTGTTTCAGTCATGCTGGAAAAGCACAGAAGTTCATGTTCCCAGTGCCAGGAAGTTTTGGTAAACACATAGTTTATTTGTGATTAAATGCAGCAGATATAAATAAAATAGTCTTGTAACTTTATGTCCTTTAGCAGTGTTCAGTTATGCTATTTGATAATTCCACTCCACAGACTTAATTTCCACTGCTTGCCACTTACATTATGTCTCTTCCAATAGTAAGCTCTGATGTTGTATGGTTTTTAGTATTTAGCTTGAATGCAGTCCAGCCAAAGTGTTGTTCTGGAAGTAACTTGAGACTTAAACGATTTTGTTTTCTAGGAGGCAAACTTTTTTTATTTCTGCCATATGGGTTGTTTTCTTCTTCTTTCCCATCACAGCCTATGCAAGTGACACTACTTAGGCTTTACTTGTTTTGACACTTATTTTTAGTGATTCCTCCAACACACAAACATTTTTTCCCCCCCTTGAATTTATATGTGCCATCCTATCCATTTTCCGAGATACTCTGCCAGCTCATAACTGTATCTGCCAAGCTTTCAAGGATTAAAATTTATAGGTAGCTTCCTTAGAAAGTGTTAGTATCACTAGTAATCATGACTAAAATTGCTATTTTAGATCACACCAACTTAAGCTAGATATCCGTAATAGCCTTTGAATGAAGTAAATACAGGAAAAGACATTGAAGATACCTTAAAGCAGAAATGGCTTTTGAATATTGATGCAGCTGAACTCAGAAAGGTGGGTATGTGTTTACTGCACATTTATGGTGAAGTCAGCCCTTGAGGGAAATGAGTTTTGAGGCTAGAGCTTTATAAAACATCAGGTTTTATCAGTTACAGGGCTGGCTGCACTTCTCTGACTTTTGCAGTTTCTGAGTGAACTCCATTAATTGGCCATCATATGTTTTCCAAACCTGTAATGAAACTTGTACCCTTGCTATGCTTGGAACATAAGCTGGGCTGCACCACAGCCTTGTATCCATCATGGTTATCCCGCGGAGCCAACTGCATTCAAACACCTGAGGCTCTTCCCTGGTTCCTGGGAGAATTTTTGAATGCTCTCGAATATAGAGACCAAACAGCACTGAAGTTTCAAGTATTCTGTTTATATGATCATAGCAATAACATTTTAAAGAATGGTTCTAGGGAAATTAAAGCATATGTATCAAATGGCAGTGAGGAAATGAAAGGCTGATTGTTTCTATCGGTATGCCCACATTGATATTTGTGGATACAGTGAATTTGTGTTCACAGGGAGACAGCCCTCAAGAAGACAAGCCTTTTCCTGTAAGAGGTTCCTCTGTGTTTGAACTGTATATATGCACGTATGTATTTTTGTATGGCATACATTGTAAGCATTGACTTTACTGATTCTGATGAAAAAGAAACATTTGTCTCATATTAGAGCCATTTCTTTAATCTGCTGCACAGTATCTCAAGCCATGGGAAGAGCTTGTGTATGTTGTCTCCCTAATGTACTGTGATTTCTTTGAATTCTTTGTGCAGTGAAAGGACGTTTAGAAGGGAGCACCCAAGACATGTCACGGGCCAACAGTTTCACTGATGACATTGACCTTGTATCGGAAGAGTCTCCCCTGCCAGCTGTATCTGATGTGGCACAGTAAGTGGAACAGCAGCTCTTTAATTGATAATATAAATGCTCATGAATAGTGAGGGAGACTTGTCACTAAATAAAAGTATTATTCTTTGGCTGGCTGCACTTGAAGTGATTACGAGTTTGATCTTATTTAACTAAACGTGAACATTTCTACAAAATGCAAGTTTAGCCTCAAGGTTAACAGAAGTATTCAGGACACTTGGAAAAATCAGCACTGTGCACACAGCTCTGTGTCTTTATTGTTTTACATTTTAAGGTAGCTGACAGAGTTCCTGAGATTGAGCTTTGCAGGTAGTTTTATACTTTGTAGAGTTCTGCATCAGTTTAAGCTCTAAAGCACTTCTAATATGAATTGATTGAAAACATAAATTAAGTCATCGTTTGTAGATACAACCTGAAAATAGAAAGGCTACATGATGTGTAATATTTTTATAAAGCAGGTGCACTTTTAAGGAAACAATGTTTCACAAATATGAAAGTAAAATTATTGAGGAGATGCTGCAGGTCTCTAAATTATCCAGGACAGAAAATGCCCGTTATCAGGTACTTCACTGCAGTTGCTGAATTGTTGCTTTTACTTAATTTAGCAAATATGTATTTCTTGAAATAAATATGATAGTATCTTCATGCAGGACACCTCCATATTGTGTTTTGGCAGGATCTTGAGTGACCTTCACTCTTTTGCCCTGTAATGTACATGTCCAGTTTTGGGGATGAGGATTCTAGAGTAAATTTCAAATGTAAAGCAGAGCATTAAAACATAGAGCAAGGCCTGGATGTACCAGAGCATCCAGGTGTCATACTAATACTTTATCTCACCTGCAGAAACTGGTACAAATGATGATGGTGTGTAGAGCTCTTGAGTCAGCTCAAGTAAATATCTGAGACTGAAGGAAAGAAAAGAAACAACAAAAATTGTTGCTTGCCTTCGGATAGGGAAAAATATCAACAATGGTGTTCAGGATGAATTTGAAAGCAATGATTCCATTGTACAGAATGATTGTTTTCAAGATGTTTTCTTTCACATCATATGGTTACTTTCTCTCCAGGTAACTCATACAGATAATGTGTCTGCTACATCTATAGTAACTATACTCTGCTTTCCTACTGGATATCCTGGTGCTTTTAGTTTCCCAACATGCTATATTTTGGATCTGCTTTCAGATCAGAATTATAAATTTTTCTATTCGAATTGGTTGGTTTTGGTTTGGCTTTGGTTTTTTTGTTTTTAATCATTGTGGTACAAACACAGGGTTTTACATAAAAAAACCAGTTCTAATCTTATTTCTACTGTTTAGTGCATGAAAAAAATTGAGGTATTTTATGTTGTTTTGTGTAGTGCACCTTGCAAACTATACCTGTGGTTTTAGTTCATATTAGTTCATTTCTCTCTTGTGGGGAAAGTAAGAAAAAGAATAGCAGAAAGCTCACCAAATGCACAAATGCAAAAAAACCACCTAAAGTAGGGAGAGATTTAAAGTAATACACTATTAAATCATTAATTTCTAATGATGTGGATGTCAACAGAATGATCTTGCAACTGAATATTGCTAAAGTAATGATTTTTATGTTCTAAGGCTGACCATAGATAAAGTATGCATAATTTTTAATTTCTGAATATTTGTAATAAACCTCAAATGTACAGAATATATAAGGCCAAAAGTTATAGATGTAATATAAAATTAAAAGGTGCCATGTAAAAATTAAATCAAAACATCATATCATGTAGCTTTATGGTTCTAAAGTCAAACTTGCCAATTTTCACCTCTTTCAGTGATCATCTCATTTTCTGTGTGCAGTTCTACCTAGTAGGATTCATTTAAGAGTTGTCCTGATTTTTGAGCAGAAATGTAGTATTTAATTATTCAAAATGTGACCTTCATTGGAGGAGCACAGAGCATGGCATATTTATGGATCTTGGTTTTAAACTGCTAATTCTATTGCAAACAATAAGATATTAACACTGTATTTGCTTGATGTGCACCTACATCAACATTAGATATACTTAGCATAATTATTTATCTTGTCTTTTAGCAGAAGTGTAAGCAGGTAAGTCTTTGTGTGTGTTACACTTCCTTTGGCGTGTGAGCTTTCCAAAACAGCATGGCCTTTGCTTTTCACTTAACTAGTGCAACAAATTTTCATCCTAGACCCACAAAAGCAGTCAATGATTAGACAAAAATACTTCCAAGAGTAGAATTTAGCCAAAGGGGGTGTATATATACATATATATATATATGTACACACTATGAACCTTCTCAGCTTGCAAAATAAGTGAAAATGTGGCTTTCATGTAGCAGTTAATGACAGTATCCTTTGATGACGACAACAGTTTCATGTAGAGCACTTTGCGGACTCAAGTTTGACTTTGTCAAGCTGCCAAAAGGCAAAGTTTTCTTTACCTTCAACAGGTCTTATGGGCTAAAAAAGTCAATCCTGCAGTAAACCTTTCTTTCAAAGCCAGTAACTGGTCATTTTTTAAACTTCTAAGCTGCTGTGTTGATTATTAAACATGAAATGTGAGGTAATGTTTTGAGGTTTTTTTTTTTCTGTAATATGAGCAATAGATTCTTCTGAAATCCACTCTGCTGGACCAGATGTTCTCTGGTGAGAGTAACCTTTACTTTAGGCCATACTCTCTTCAAAACTCCGTTCACTGTGTGGGAAGGGCACATATTGTCTCAGGAGAAGAGAGTTCCTACCCTTGAGCCCTTAGAGAAACTTCTCTTGCATCAATCTGTACCACGTCTGCATCAAGTTTAAATAAAGTAAATAAAGTGGTTGCTTGGCAAAACCCATTAGGCTGGTTGAAAACTAGTGATGTTACTGTTTAAGAAGATGTTTTGAGTGAAAGCAAACCTGTTCGATGGGTTGCAGCACTTCCCAGGTCTCCATGGTTGATACATCCAGTATTGGAATTCTGATGTTGGTGATCCATGCAAGCTTAGAGAAGATATGTTATCCTAGTAGGAGGTGTCAATAAAATCAAAACCAAATAGCAAGCTTGAAAATTGAGCTTAAGAGACCTTTTTGTAGAAACATAACTGCTTTGGGTCCTTTAGATAGTAGGGATGATGTTTGTTTCTAGTGATCTGTACAAAAATGTGAAAAAATGCCACCTCCTGAGCTAGGGAACCAAAGCACTGTATTTGACATCTAATTCTGTGGCTGTTTGAAGTTCTTGCTGAGTATCTCAGGCCCATCCTCTCAGGGGCAAAAATCTCATGGCTGCTGACCTGAGTAGAGCTGTGTTGCTTTAATCTGGCTGCTTCTGAGGTGTCCAAAGTTGAATAAGAATGATGTTGTTAGAGATTAATCAAATCTGACAGCTGAAATAAATGTTAATTTCAATCATCTGATGAGTAGTTCTGTTTTTAACAATAAATGCTTAGAGTACCTCATTGCCTGATGTAATTACCCCCCTAATTTTTCAAGTTCTCTGATGAGCAGTCAGAAGGTGATTCCATAGATGCATAGAGAGCCTGCAAAATGGTCCTTTGTACTTTGAAATCTAGAAAAAAATAGAAATTTGTTTCATTGCAGCACAAATTTCTTGATCCTTAGCATTAGTCTTCTACATATATTGGTAACTATCTGAATTAAGTTATACATTAGCAAAGGTCTAAATCTTGGGAATGATAAACATTAACTTTCCAGCTCTAGGAATAACAGTTTGCTTTTTCTTGCTATCCTTAGCACTTTCTTTATATTACCTGATTTTTTTTTCTTGAGAAACATGTAAAATCAAACAATTTAAAGATGGATCCATCATCCAGCTTAATTCAACATAATGCCTAATGCCACTGCTTTCTCCATAATGTTATATCTTGAAGCCCCTCTTATTTCCTACTGTATGCACACAAATTTTCTGACAGAAGGACGTAGAAGCTGGTATAGAATTAGGCCTGTTTGTAAAAATAATACCTGACAAATTCCTTTATTGCTGTAACAGATTGCTTACTAATGACAGAGGCAAGAGATTACTCCAAATAGCACTTATTAAGCAAGTGGCAAGCTGTGATTTCTGCTTTTTTTTTTCAGTCTTGTCTCGTCTCCATTGCTGGCAGGACTGTTTTGTCTGTTTGATGAACATATCATGTATATCACAATGTCTTTGAGGAAAAGCACTGATGCTCTTGAGGTCTGTAAAATGAGTAATCTGCCATCTTGCTAATTTTTTACCTGTGTCCATAAACAACAAAAAATGCAAAGAAAACATCTCAAAATTGTGTGTGAATTTGGTAAGCAACAAATAGAAGAAAGGAGGGGAAATACGCATCGGAATGGGAGCAGGGACAACAAACCTTAGTGGATTTTTGGTCCTTCTTCCTAGTCCAAACATTTAAGGCCAACTGCTCCCAACAGCTGGCTCAAACCAGACATTATAGTTGTGCTTTACATGTGTTAAGTTACAGTCTTGGGAGATAGGTATATTCTGTGAGGCTGAGGACTTTGGACTTGGATAGTTTGGAGAAAAGGAGGCTGAGGGGCAGTCTCCCTGCTCACTCAAGCTTCCTTAGGAAGGGAGATGGTGAGAGAGGTGCTGGTCTCTTCTCCCTGGTATCTGGTGACAGGACACATAAAAATGTCTCAAAGGTGCTGTTTGGAGTGGACAGGGTGCTGGAGCATGTCCAGAGAAGGGCAATGAAACTGGTGAAATGTCTAGGATAAGTCATGTGAGGAGCAGCTGAGGGAACTGGGGATATTTAGCCTGGAGAAAAGGAGATTCAGTGCGGATTTTATCACTTTCTACAACTACCTGAAAGGAGGTTGTATCCAGGTGGGGTTGATCACTTCTCCCAGGTGAGAAGTGACAGGACAAGAGAAAATGACCTCTGCCCAGGGAGATGTTGGAGTCACCATCCCTGGAGATGTTCAAGAAACAACTGGATGGTTTAGTTGACAGGTTGGTGTTCAGGCAAAAGTTGGACTCGATCTTGGAGGTCTTTTCCAACCTTAATGATTCTATGATTAGGAAATATTTCTTTACTGGGAGAGTGGTC